TGCTTTACTGACATTGAGATAGACCACATTGACTGCTTTGCCATGTTGATAACAGCCCGGTTTGACAGCTGCAAAAATTTGCAGTTGTGGACTTCAATATGCTTAAACAATAACAGTTTGATTAGGGCACAGCCGCTCTTGGCGTCTTTGAAACAAAAATTCTTTTTGTTCTTTCTATGTGTTTTCTGACATTACTAGCTCTCTGAGTTTACCTGTCTCAGTGGAGAATTGCTACAGAGTTGTTCAGGTCACGTGTAGCAGCAGTGAATACACCAAGCAAAACTCTGGGAAATAAATACTGTGCTGCTTTTTGTTCTTCCAGAGTAGCTCCTCGTAAGATATGCAGTTACCCCAGATGGTGTTTTGTATGACAAACCCTGAATACCACTCTGACTTTGCCTGTTATCTGTGGTCTTCTATGTACAAATACATTAAATCTGACAGCTAATTAGACATATGTATACCAATTCACTGGATCATTGGGACTGGCATTTCATTTGACTATAAGAAGTACATTATTTTATTGGTTCTTTTACACACTGAAGCAGAAATGCTGTTACAGTTTATTAAATACAGTGGTTAAAACAAACAAACAAGCAAACAAAACCCCCTAGCAAAACCCAAAAGGTTTGAATAAGTACCTGCACAACCTTCATACTCATTTGGTTTTTACAAGAAAGAAGTTTAGATCCTTATGTGACCATATAGAGAAAAACCCAGTTGTTCCTTCTGGAGCACACTGTAATTAATTGGCTTGGTTTAGCTGGCAAATCAGTGTTTTGTTGTAAGTGCTGTTAATATCTATCCGTTGAACACCATGACGGATTTCAAAATCAGACCAGAAAATATGCAAACAGAAAACAGTCCAAATTACCCTTATGGGTATTATTACTGGCAAATCTTAATCTCTTTGGCTTTGCTTACATTAACAGCAGTTTTTGAGAACTGAAAAGAAAACTGTGATAAAAGCCTCACAGGAAAATTTTCATATACATATATGCTTATTCATTACTTAAAATTTTTAAGCTCAATTTTGGTAACGTTGGTTGAAAGCTTATAAACTGCAGATATCAAAAGTGACTTTGTTTTTGAGAATGAGAAGCTTTTGTCAGAGCAGACATAATCCTTCTAGCCATACGAATTCTGCATTGAGCAGGCACTCTGTCTGCTTTGAATCAAAACACAGATTTCATTACAAGAATCATAATTGCTAAGAGGTATCTAGATCAACGGAACCCCTTCTTTTACTGCCTTTGATGAAAGCAGGCAAAACATGATTTTGTCAAGAGCAACATGAGCCAGTAACAACTCTTAATCAGTGCTGGGAGGCACTAATAGCAAAACTATACAGTATTCTGTAGCAGACTGGATACGGTCTGAAGTAACGGGATATATTAAGAAACAAGTGGCATGTGATTACTGGTATGATATTCTGAAGCAACATTCATTATTCACAAGTCAATAAACACCTTAAAGTCAGCCTATATTCCTCCTTTCTTTCTGATAGGCTAATTTTTAAAGTAAAAAACCGTAAGGCAATAATTTCAAAAGTACAGTCAACTCTCAGTTATCCATGGACATTAACTGTATGACAGATGCAGAGAGATGGAGTCGGTTCCCTGAAGAACTGTTTGAATTCTGTCTGGACCTACTGACTCCAGTATGGACCCACATGGATATAGCTATGCTGTCTCCAGGATGACTAGTGAGGCAGGAAGCCTGAGTTAGTGAGATCTGTGGCCCCAGCTTGTATGCCTGGCAGATGCACTGTGATCATCCATCATGGTGTAACTAAAACTGGGAATGCTGGGGAGAAAATAAGCTCATGTCCAACTCTTAGCAATTCTTTTACCAATTATTAACCTACTGACCTTTGCAGTGTCCTGGATGCAGGAAAGCTTATGACCCGGGTGTAGTACCAGAGTTAACCTAGCTTTGTGGATTTGCATCCAAGCTGAAAATCTCTTCTAGAGCTTTGCTTACAAAAGAATGCAGAGAGGCCATTTTTCTGCAGAAGTCCAGGATAACAAGTGCTGAGCTGGAGCAAGACCAGTGGCTTTAAATTAGGTCTGAGCTACTTCCACATGGCCTCACTTGTGTCACATCCCTTGGTATCCATAGTAACTGGGTGTTTCTGTATTTCATTAGTCCCGATAGCATAGAGCTGGCTATAAAAAATCCTCGATAGCTGGGAGCTCCTATACAAACCAGCCAAGAGCACTAATTTCTTCAATGTTTGCTAATCTGTGCATGACAAATACATGTTCTGAGTACTTTCCTTTCCCTGCCAGTACTGGTTTTTTTGGATAGGATTTAAGGATACTGAAATTTTCAAGTATTTTGCAGTATTCAATTTTATGTTAGTCTTAACATAAAAAAGTTGGTAGCAAGGCAGTGGAATAACACTATTAGTAACTAATTTTCATTCTCCAGTTAGACTGCCACTTTAAGAGAATGAGCTACACAGCCATAATGGGTACTAGTCTGGTAGGAGTCAGCTATCTTTAGCAGTTATGTAGCACCAACTACAAGGTATTAATAACTGCCAAGTTTTGATGTACAGCTACTTTTGCAAAGGGGTCATTCTTTTGTACAGACCAAATTTTTTAAAAAAAGTTTTTAAAAGACAAAAAATATACACAGTTGTCTTAAAGTGGTTGGTGATTCACTCTTAATGAACTCGCTGGCATGGTATCAGAGTTTTATGCTACTTGAGGTCTAGATATTCCTTTAAATCCACAAAAGTTCTGACTTAACAGGAAAAGGATCTGCAACACAGTTGCCTTTCCCTTTCATATCTTAGCTTTTGTGAGAACTGCAAAAAAACTTTGTCTACAAGTATTTTTTTCATATGTCTCAAACATTGTACTGACCCACCATCCATGCAAATATATTCAAATGTATTAAAATAAGTAATTAATTTTGAAACATTGAGTTAATAGGTACATCATATCAGCTAAGCTGGTCACAGACTTCTTATGGAAACAGAATTTGGAAAATGAGTAGTTAAAAAACAGAAACAAAGGATGACACAACAGAGAGAAATAATGGAGTTGATTCATTCTGGCAGCTCTTGCCAAGTGAACTGAGATCACAGTGAGAGAGTAGTATGCTTCCCTGAGTTGTCTTTTAAGCCTATTACACAGCTAGATTGCATAGTTTCTCTTCATGGCTATACTTATCTAATTAATTAAGGGAAACAACATAGCTGCCTATACAGACAGTGCTAAGGCTACCAGTTTTATCCTTTCTTTTTGCGTTGGTATTTTGTAAGTAGAATTTTTAAATTATTTTACTGAACCATATTTTAAAAAATCTTCCTCTCAGTCCAGCCATGCTCACTGACAGAAACTGAGTGGATGCATTCCCACCCTGATATAGAAGAAATAACATGAGTGAGATGCTGTGAACTGAGGTGAAAAAATGAGGCTTAATAACCCAGCACTATCTTAACTTGTCAGATATTCTGCAGTACTACCACACCTGGTCTAGTGCAATGCAGGTGAAATGCAAGAATGAAGTACAACAGGGATACATCTGCAAACTCTACATGACCTACTTGTGTAAAAACTGGTCACCTTAAAGAGGCAGAATTATCTTTTCCTTACTGTCTGATAACAAAGATGACCAAAGCCTATGGCAAATACTATTATTACAGACCAGCTTGAGCTGTGCAGTAGGTGCTGTCCTTTCTAAGGTGAGTCTCAGTCTTACCAGCACTGACATCTCTGGTAGAGGCCAAGGGCAAATGGCAAATATAAAAAAATGCCAATCCTATCTTCTACCATATGTTATTATTGTATGAATATGCATGAAGCAGAACAGTTGAGAACACTGACATAAAATCAACAAATCAACACACCTGTTAAACCACCAGCCAGCCTTTTCCTCTTCAGCACAGTTCCCTTCATAGTTGTCATTGTCCCTGTCTCTAGTACTGAATTTCATTCCTCGATGATCAGCCCACCATTTTACTTCAGGATGAAATCCACCAGTAAGGGAATCACCAGCTGTGCCAGAGTATTCACCACAGCTCATCTCATAAGAATGCTAATGAAAAATGTGAAGAAAGGAAAAAAAATAAGTAATGCAATATGTTTTTAGCCTTTAGCATTTCAGAGAGTGAAACCATAACAAGGAAACTAATCTGTTCCATTTGCTACTGGTTTTATGCTCAGAAATGTCATGCCACTTAAACACTGTGTACTAGATAATGAACGAGTGTAAAGATGCTTACTAGGGGTAAAATTTGTCAATAACCCTATATATAAATGACATAATAAAAGCAATTAGAGTTAGTTTGCAACACATATTAACAAATCAGAACATCATGTACCATTATTGTTGGTAATAGCAACAAAAATAGAAAAATTGCTTTTATCTATGGCTGCTAAACCAAATGATTCATACATCTCACAGAAAGTGTGAAATTGATGTATAAATTTAAACCACTATTATTACATATTTGAAAATTCCAAGCATTTGTAAGAAAGAAAATATGATAATAAGGTTCTACACAAACCTTTATGAAAATTAAGGAATCTGTATGTTTATTGTCTGTCTACAGAATCCACATTTTCATTAAAACCTCTAATCATTATTTAATATTTTATTACCTCTTCACCTGCAACTCTGAATCTTGCATATTGTGCAAAACGCCGTTCTCCTTCAAAATCAGTTAGATCAATTCTTAAAGTATAGTTCCCTTAAAAAATAACAACACAAATTATTTTGGTTAAACTAGCCTATCTCATGACTTTTCAGAACAGAGTATTATAGAAAATTAAAATACTATATTTCTATCATGAATCTTTATCATCACAGCATATTTTATGGGTTTTTATCTTCTTTCTTTATGCATATGAAAGTATATTTTGCTATTCTTTGTCTTTATTCACCTAATTCAGCTTAGAAAAATTTAGAATTATTCCAATAAAGTTTTTCAAGAGTAGACACAAAAAAATATATTTAAAAAAAAAAAAAGGCCTTATATTTTAGTAAGGTATTTGAGGTGGTAATGAAAGGACAGTGAGAATCAATCAATAAGCATATACCTAAGAAAATCAGATTTTTATACTCTGAAGACAAGAGTTAAACTAGGACCACATCCTGGTGTCATTGATTTCCATATGAATTCACTGGCTAAGGCAATGGGTAAGTTCTGTATATGCAGCATTCTACAGCAAAGCAGACGTTATCTTAGACTGAGTGACTATTAGAAAGATGGAAACAGCTTGGTGAAACTAGCCTAATCAACAGGACAGGCCTGTTTCTACAGCAAAGAAACAGAAACAATACAACACTATTGTTACAATACAAATCTTACCTTGATTAGTCAAGTAATGAAGATTTTTATTTCCAAGCCAGTATTCACCATTTGTCAAAACAAAATTTCCAAAGCCTTCTTCATAGTCAGTCCAGACTCTGAAAAGAGTATAAATTCCTAATTTATCAAAAAAGCAAGTTTGCTTGGATGCTTATTTTATTGTGCAATCATAGATCACTGAATAATTCAAACTGGAAGGAACCTCAGGAGGTAACCTAGTCCAGTGTCCTGCTCCAGGCAGGGTCAGCCATGAGATCAGACCAGGCTGTTCAGGGCTTGTCTAGTCAGCTCTTGAAAACCTCCAGGGATGGAGACTGCACATCCTCTTTGGGCAACCTTATTCTCACAGTGAAAAAGTTTTTCCTAATATCCAGTCTGAACCTCTCAGCTTCTGTACTTTGTCTTTCATCCTCCCATCAGACACAACCGCGAAGAGCCTGTTTACTCAACAAGCTCTCAAACTGCTCTGTTTCCTTAGTGATCTCCCTGTAGGTACAGGCAGACTACTATTCAGGTTCTGCTGAAGCCATCTCTTCTCCAAGCTGAACAAGCCTTAGCCTGTCCTCATAGGGCAAGTGCTCCAGCCCTTGATCATCTTGGTAGTCCTCTGATTAACTCTTTGTAGGTACATTACATATTGGAACATTAATAAATGAATACTTTAGACTTTATTATCTTATTTACATTGTTGATCTTCACAGAATTATTTTTATTTCTCACATGTGAAAGGCTGAATCCCAATCTACACTGGTCACTGAATCCCAGTCCAAAGAGTAGTCCTAAGAGATACATTCAATGTTATTTAAGATTAACAGATTTTAAGACCAAAAGAACTACCATTAGCGCAGTCCAATCTCTGGTATAGCACAATTTACCCAAAGTTAAAACATTTTTCCTGGTTAAATCCAGGGAATCTAAATGAATGTGTAGGTGTATAGCAAGCATTGTTTGTTTATTTTCTGTGCTTTGATTAAGCTGTGAAACTCCTGCAGCTGGATATATAATTTTGTAAATTGGGGTATTAGCTAGCTGTTTCTAGCTTTGACTTATTTACTGATTCAAACAATTTTTGAGCTCATACTGGTGCATAGTTTCAAGAATTACTGTGCATACTGAAAGCATTGAATCTTTTCCCTGCCTACAGTGGCTTTGAAACACTTTCTCTGTGGTTTTGGTTTCATGACATGTTCGAATGAGGACAAAAATATGACCTATTTTCTTGATGAGAAGCAACCATACTTGAGCCAATGGGTGAAAGTATCAGGCTGTGGATGGGCAGTCATAAGAGAAAACAGCATCTGTGACTTCAGTAGCTGGTAGTCTCTGGCAAGCGAGAAGAATTGGTGGTGTGTGGTGGTAACAATTGTAAAATGCTACAGATTGCTTCTGTAGCTTGTCTGATCATATTTTATAAAATAAGAATAGCAAAGTTTTCTTGGCTGGATTGCAGTTTTTCATCTTCTCTGGGAATCACTTCTCTATTTCATAAGAGTATTGTAAAGTTAGTTACAGTAATTATAAACACAGGCAAGACACAAATCCACGGCAGGATGCAGATACATGAAAAGCAAATTGGGCAAAGCAGAGGTTCTAAAAACCTTGTTGCTTCTAATATCTGTAAATATTTGTGGGGTTTTATATCCAAGTCTCACAGCACTAAAAATTTCACTTATGGACATTTCCCCAAAAATGCTTGAGTCTTGTCACAGGCAAGGAGGCTAGGTGTCCACAAATCAAGTTCTCACACATCTTATCTTTCCTGGAGGCATTTTGCCATGAGCTACAAATTACTACTCTGTGGTGGGTTTCTCTCAAACTTGCCTGCTGATCGTGTATCAGTTCAAGCAGATTGCTTACATTTTCACTTTTTTAGATTTTTACAATTTGCAAATGACAAGGTAGTCCTTATCAGTAAGAATTCTTGCTCCAACAGTTGTTAATGCATTTGACATTGAAGTGTCCTCATGTAAAATGCACAAGCTGTCAGAAAAATTAGAATAGATGTCTCCCAGAAAAGAGAGAGAGACAGAAGTGGTATCTCGTCTTGAGACTGTCCCACAGAATAAACAATCCTCCCTTTTATCTGGGATAGCAACTTATTCATATAATTCTAAAGGTAAGATTTAACTTAGCTCCATCTGGTCTAATGTTTCTCCACTTTGTTTCCAATTTTAATGTCTAAGTCTAGTTACCTACCTATCAAAATTCTGGCTGCCATCAGAACGTCTCTGAAAAACAGTCCAACCACCCCCTTCAGACATGTCACAAAAGGCAAGGAATTCAGTAGGACTCTGGATAGGTTTCATCTTATAAAATCCACTTTGCTTATGGCCATCTTTGTAGATTTCGGCACAGTCTGTTCACAAAACATTAATTTGACACAGTTTTTTTAGTCTTATACTTACTGGCAAAATCAGAAATGAAGTCAATAACAGAAATCAAGTCATGTCATGTAAGAGCCACATACGAACCAGGCTAATACAAAGGAAATACCTCTGCAAACACATTTCTATGAGTTGGGATATTTTCTTGTATTTGTGTTGCTTTAAAACTTTATTAAGTGGTAATTATTTTGACATTTCTTTAAAAGAATCTTTTTTCCACCATAAAATATTATCTTTTTTTTTTTTTCATTTGACTAGCAAAATAATTCTTCTGGTTTAAGTGGTGTCACTTTTAATTTACAATGGTATCATCTACATTAGAATCCTGCTGCAATCATATAATCTCTCTACACATAAAACACAGTAAGCTTCAAAAACAAACATGTACTTCTATGTCCAGAAAGTCCACAGGAGAACTGCCAAAAACAAGAGTATGGAATCACCAGTGTTAGAAAACAGAAACAATTGCTGGACCTGTTACTCTTGTCCCTTGTACCAAACAGGTACAAAAATACACAGAAGACTATCCCCAAAAAGTGCAATGTATGTGTAAAATGATACCACTTCAGCTTGATACCATTTACAGTTTGGTCTGCATTGGTGTTAATAACTAATCAGCATTTACAGCAATGACAAAATTCAGAGCTCATGAAAATATAACAGCAATGTAATTATATAATCTTATCTTTTTTCCTTTAGGAGTTAAAAAATGAAAGGAGTTCTTTGTTTATATGTAATCTGCCATCAAGCAATCATACAGGAAAGACGTATAATTTTCAACATTTCTATTTTTCCTGGCAAAGGTAGGGCTGATTAACCGTAAGATTTTCCTTGAAACATTGATGAACATGTTGGCTGAACTTCTAGGCCAGTTTGGAACTTTCTGAACTATTATATTTCTTCTCAGTAAAAGTGTTAGTAAAGGTTAGACGTAGAAAATAAACAGTTTATACTGAAACCAAATAGTTATGCCAGGATTTGAATAAACTCTAACAGAAAACATGATTTAAATAATATCTAAATTGTCTGTCTAGAGAATGTTTGATTGGCGTATAGAAAATAGCTTTTCTTGTCCATTATTTTCTCAGTAGGTTAGCAAAACACTTACGCATATTTCAATTTTTAGCAGGTGTGTATAATGTGGAATTTCTCCCTCACTATCTAACCACAAATTATCCAGCTCTGTTGACATTAAACTGCTACAGCGGTTTGAATAGGGAAATGCATTTTCCAAGCTATAAGGAAAGTGAAAAAATAATGGAAAAAAATAATCAGAAACTGGATCAACTCAGAACTGTTATTTAGAATCACATTTTAAGAAAATAAACTGAGGCATATGTTAATAAAGAACAAATACCTTTCAGCTAAATGCAGTTTTAATAATCTTTTCCAGTAACAAATGAGTCAGTCATAATAATTAAAAAAAAAGTATTCAAGGATGCTGAATACATAAATAAATATAACAGCTAAAATGTAAAGTCAGACTCCCACTGCTTTTAATTTTATTTTAACAGTGCTTTATTATATTTGATGCCTTGTTATATGTTCTGATTTGTTCCAGCAGCATAAACTCTACAAGTATATTCAAACAAGGCCATTAAAAATTATAGAAGTTTAGACTCTTTAGCACTGGACAACTGGAAACAAACAGCATCCAAGAATCAGATTCACAAATTGTATTTTCAATCCAACTATTGGTTTGAATGGTGGTTTATTATTTTAAGAGTTTGGGCCCCACTCCAGCTACTACGGGCTAATACGCTTAGCCTTCTTCCATTGCAGGGGGACTGTATCACCACGTGCATGCTGGTGAGATTACAAAACCAATTTAAAACCAGTATTTTAGAAGCTATGATGTCCTGAGCTGAACCTAACTCAGTCAAAATGGTGCAACATACAGAATATTATTAAAGTGACATGCAGATGTCAGTATGCCAGGCTTATGTGTGTAAATATGCATGTCTCAGGGACTTTACTGATTGGAACAGAGTCAGTGTGTGCTTGTAACCCATGTGAGCCTGTGAATGTATGAATGTGAACTGACCCTGTGGGTTAGGACTTTTTGAGATTAGTAAAAGAAGGATGTTTAGAAATCTGTAACTGTTTATTAACACTTTGTAAATGTCTATTATTGACTTTTATCTGTTGTATTGCTGATATTTATTCTGAATGTATTGCTCACAGATATTTTTTTAATTATGTGCAATTGCAATAAACCGCTTCAATCCTGATTTAATTTATACCATGTGAGATTAACAATTTTTCCCTGCAGCAGCAGGCCTAGGTAAAAGCTGAACACTGTGTTTTAAACAAACAATTTTCTATGAGCTTTTAAAACAACAAGTCAATGGGCCCAATTGTGCTGAAGCTTCTGTGTATCATTACAATGAATGGTAATGAAAAGAATAGCTTAATTTCTAACCTGAATACTGTCTTTTTCCTCCCAAGTCAATGACACTGTTTTCATCTCCTCTGTCACTGTACTGAATCTCTTTCTTCTCTAAAAGCTGTATAATTTTTAACTGCTGATGTTTCACATGATGTTCCAGAAGCCTCACCTGGCCCTGAAGTCGTATCTGCTCTTGAAAACAGTTCTGTAGATCCTAGAGAGGAAAACACATAGTATTGTAAAATTAACAATTTTTTGTCACATCTAACGTGATAGAAAAAAACAACCAAACCATAAATAAAATTAAACTTGAATAAAACATTTTGGTCACAATTTCATACAGACACTATGTTTACTTCCACCTCAACTGCTACCTCTATTTAAAATTATTTCTTATATTACAGAATGTCTAAACATATGCTTGCATTGCAAAGAGACCTTCTCTTTAGTGGCTTTAACTGCTAGCTCTCACAGCAAACATGCAGAGGGGACTTTAGGGAAAAACACTATAGTACAGACCTATTCATAAAGATCACTTATTCTCTATCACCTGCCATGTAGAGATTTACTGTCCAGTGAGGCGTGCTACTACCACTGTGAAGGTTCTAAAATTCTAGACTTTTAAAGACATACAGTCCACACTGATATGTTTTCAACTTCATTGTGCATTTTCAAATGCTTTTAGATTACACACTTCTTATGATAAGAATCTTAACATTACCAACATAAACACTGTAAAGTTTAAAGCTCATTTTTTGGCATGCTAAAGTAAATAATCCCTAGGAAGCTACAAATATGCATGAAAAATAAAAATTCAAAAGTAATATTGTGCTGTGACTTGTACATGTAATTTTGCCATGCAGGGTGGGTGAGAAATGTGCCAATTCTGATATGGCGATACCTAGTGCTCATTTCACCCTGGAGCAAATACTGATACATGGCAAGAGAGCTGGAATAACTGTTCCAAATTCCAATGTGCTGAATGTACACAGAGCAATAAATAACTGGTTTTAGATTAATGACTATGGTAAAATAGCCAAAGTGAACAAAGCCCAGTCTAGGGAGCTTAAATTAAAACAGCCTGTACAGTTTCAAATAGATATTAAAGAAATTTGATTTCAACATGGGAAAAAAAGCCTTTGGGGTTTTAGGATATATTTTACAAATGTGACATGAGGTTTTGCATCAGTAACATTGTGTCTGCAATTTTATATAAGCAGACAGAGTTTAGTAGCTATGGTGTTTGCACAAGAGCACAACTAGCACTGTAAAAGCAAAATCAGAGGGCAATCTTTTGGAAATCTCATATGCAAGATCAAATATGCAGTAGTTCTAAACTAGTACAACCTTATTCATAGGTCAACATTATTTACATGAGCTAAGGATGTAGTTTGGTAACATTTGCCATCCATAGAGAAGAGCTGATATCTTAGAACATTGCCCTATCACACTGAACTCTAGACACCTCTCCAGTGGTATCCACATATTTTCACTTGTATCTGGCTCAGGCTTCACCTATTTTCCATGAACACTCCCACCAAAATGTTTCCTGTCACTTTCTTGCTGCAGTGATTTTTTTTCTTCTGTCTGAAAAGCTGATACCATTCTATAAGTTTCTATGCAGCTCAAACATGGTTCTGGTTAGACTGACCTCCCTTCAGTACCTTTCACCACAACTCCAAGAACAGACTTTGTGAATTAAACTAAAAGTATTAACTAGAATCTGCACTTTATTACTCTACTACATGCAGATTTTTTTCATAATTAATTTGTGGTGCTAATTAAAAAGCTACTACTGCTACTGTCAAGGAACATCCATATAGACTGTCATGACTAGATAGAAATAAGTGTTGCAGATGACCAGGCCCCTTTGTTTTTTCACTAGAGAGGATGCAATTCACTTTCAACGAATAGATAAATGAACTAGAGACATTTCAAGAGAGTATTTGAAGATAAAAGAATATATGTCCCTGAGTTCAGTAAAATGGTTCCTAGCCTTCATGTTCCATTTGCCTGCAATATTTCATCATATTGAAGAATTTGATGATCAGGCATGCTGACTTTGCAGAACAATCCTGAATATAGCCCTCTGCTTTAAGAATTTCTGAAGTGTATCAGATGCTTGCTTTAATTCATATTTAACTGCAATCTAATATACATGGTGGAATAAAAGAATGGGGAATATACATGTGGCAGGACTAGGCAGTTTGTCAGTGACCTGTTCAAGAGGAAAAGGCTCAACGGCCTCTCTGGGTTTGGGCTGCCCATGTCAGGCTGCTTGCTGCTAGGTCCTGAGAAGCCATTAAGACGCTTGACCACAAGGAGGAGCTGTAAAGTGAAAAGCATGTGCACCAAACACTAACTTTTTTAGAATAGTAAACAAAGCAGCCAATGACCTAATATCTCCAGAGTCTTATTTAAGACTACTCTCCTAAAAATCTTTTTTAGTTGTTGATAGCTATACGAGATGCCTAACATACTCTCCTTTTCTTCTAGCAGGAAATCAGAGAAGAAAAAATATGTGCACAAACAGACACAAACTTGCTACAGTGGCTTAGAGGGATGTTGTTTGACCATAAGCACTGGTTAATGTGTGACATGTTGCATATTACAAAGAAAGGATGCACTATTATGAAGTCTTTCCAAGGCGGTTGTCTCAACTTTTATCTGCAGTTTCATATAAATCTTTCACAAAAGCTGAGCTGAATTGGGAAATTCAGAAGAGGCTTCCTGGACGGGTCTCTGCAAGTTCTCAGACTACTCTCGAGTGCATACAGAAAATTATGGGGAACTGGACAGCTGCTTAGGTGGGTTGAGAAAAACTGAATTATTAAAATGCTGGATCACCCTGATGAACTAATGCTAACTATAGAAGTAAAGCTGTCAAAAAACCCATGCTAACAGTTAGACCAGATATTAATCCTAATCATATTACAATAACAGTTCCACCATGCCACACTTACCAGTTTTACTGCAGCATGTGTTTATTGAGAAGGTTAGCCTGTATCAGTCTTAGCTTAGTACTTGCAACCTTGGAGAACATGGTAAATACAATAGGAAAGACCTGGATGATCCTGGAAATGCTGGCGCCTGTTGCTAGGCCCTTGCAATTTCGTAGGCAAGACTTCAAGTGGGTAGTCCCTTTAACACACAGCAAGGTCTGAGCCACAAAGAGCCACCTTCAGTTCTGATCAGAGTAGGACTCTGTGCTCTTAAGTAGAGGAAGCTACAGGCAGATAAGTGTGTTTCTTTCAGGTGTAGTGAAAATGCATCTATCACTTCACCTATTCATACTGCTGAAAGCCATTCTCCTACTGTAATTAAATTATATAGTAAACGTAAAGGACTTCTTGAAAAATATTATTGTACATTAGAAAAACTTGTATCTAAATTCAGTATGACACTACTTCATATACCACCATAAAAGGTCCTTTCCTTTGGATCAAATTAAACACAAGTCTGCAACAGGCTATGTCTCTAAATATTATTATTACCTCTGCATTTTAAGTTTATCTCTTCTTTTTGTTTACTTAAAGATTGTGAATTAATTCATGAAAATCAAAAGCTAACACTGAGCTGATTCTCATCTGCTTTACAGAAAATACACTCATTATGGGGTGAACAGTAATAGATCTACATTACACGTAGCAATTTCCAATGAAACAGATTTAAGCTCACAGTTCTGGTAAACAGTAAGTAACAATAAAGAAATCACCAGCCATACTGCCTGTGAACTACACCGTAAGAAAGAAATGACTGAACAGAAATAGAGTTTTGAAAGGAGCATACATAAGAAAAGTACTGGTATCTGACACTTTGCTTTCTCTCCATGAGTCCAGCCTCCTCATTGATGTTTCTTTCTGTCAACTCCAGACAAGTCCCATTACACTTTGCTGCTGCACAGCAAGAACAAAATTCTCATATTTGGAATTCCACACCTATTTTTCCCATGGGACAATTACAAGTTAGCTGTGTAACTTCAAGGTGGAAGTTTTGTTAGGTATGGACCAAAGTTAAACTATTACAATGTTGAAATACTCAAAAAAAAAAAAAAAAAAAGTGAATTTGATTGTGCCTGCCTCCAGTGGACAGTAGTGCCTACTGATTGAAGCCAGACTGAACATAACCTCTTCTGTCTGTTTCAGCGAAGCAACTGTTTGTACTACACATTGAGAAGCAATTATCTAACAACTGTTGACAGCTCTTCTCATGGACATCCAGTCCCATATTTAACCAGCTGCTGCAATTAATGTGCATTCACAATCTGTATTTCATTATTGTGTGAATTATTTAGCAGCTCATGACCTTCTATTAAAATTGATGCTATAAATTAGACTCAGAATACTTTATGAAAACTATAAAAATACAAAATTTTTACTTCAGGCATTATTTCCTGTATCTTTAGAATTTAAATGAGCTCCAAAAAAATCTCTAATGAGATCAGTGTTTTAATGAGATTAAAATGAGAAAACTTAGAAATTCCAGAATTTTCCCAGTTTTTATTCACAGGGTCAGACAAAGTCCATGATATTCCAAATGAAAAATCAAAAGAAATCAAACACTTTTCATTGTAACGTCTTTTTCTCTGTAGGCTTCTATAAAAATTGTAATATTTTTCTCCACTGAGCAGAAATGATTACAGAGGCAGATGAATCTTATTCTTCCCCTATAGAACTACTTATCTGAACAAAAGGCTTCCATAAGATAATGTAAGACAGAAACAGTGATGCTCACGTAGTGGTAAATTCAGCAACCACTTCCACCTAGGCAATTATGAATCAACAATTCAATCTCACAGGTCCCTGCTAGTCAGGGAATATCAAACTAGGAAGGAGAGCCAAGACTGGCAGTACAGGACTGCTGAGGTTAGAAGTATTTTAAGCAGTGGATGAAGTGTGTGTTAGGGTTTTTATTGGAGTGGCAGAATACATAGCAGAAGGTTTTGGGAGCTAGAAGTGAAGGAACTTTGATCATTGTTTCTGAGTGTGAATTATAGTAACATGGGAACACATAAGATGAAGCTATGGATCTTATTTGAGAAAAAGTTGTATGGCAAGTGGACAAGGTAGAAAAGGATAGAAACATTCTTCATCCTGAACGTCAGTGACCAGAAATACTACTGCTGCAGCCACCGCTTTAGGAGTTCTGGGTTTTGTCTTTCTGTAAGTATGCTGCTCAAAAATAAAGGTGTTATTCTGAGATAGCATTACCCCTGAATGGTAGGATAGCTGTCTTGTATGCCTTCTGTACAATGTGCCTGTTAATGCATCATATGATACCTTCTTTAGCAAAGATATTCTATTGCCTCCTATTTCATGTCAGATCCAGTAACAAAATGACTGGACTACTTTCTTCAGTGCTATTGCCCAGTAATTTATCTTCCATCGTATATTTATGCATTTGTTTCCTTTTTCCTTATCAGAAACTTGTTCCCACTGAGCATCATTTGAGGTTATTTCCCCAGTCTTTCAGTTTTGTGCCGAATTCCAATCTTTTCCACCAAAGCCATCGCATGTAGAGATACACTGTAAGCACTATGGAGGACAAGGTATGAAATATTTAGAAGAGACTCTACAGGCAAATGTAATTACTAGAACTTACAGAACTGCCAGTGGCATCCATCAAGCTAGCTGCAAGGACAAAATCAATCATTATCAAAATCTTCATTCTTTGGAAGCTGTGAAGTAGAGGAACACATGAAACACATGAATACATGTTATTTGGAATAATCTATTTAACCCATAATTATTTTCTTACATATTGTAAATATAAGGTATCTTTAGGCTTATTACAAATGTGTAAAAGAGTCTGATCAAGTACAACTCCAAAACCCAGTAAAACCAGAATTTACCCTTTCAGGCCACTTTGTATCAGAGCTCTCCATGTATTTTAGGACAGCTATTCAAGATTCAAACCCACACATTTTATTGTGAAACAAGACAAAAGCAATTTTAAAATGCCTTGAAAAGGAGGTCAGTTCAAGTTGGAAGAAAACTCTCTGTTATATTCAAGTAACAAAAAACTGAATTGGGCTAGCTGTCCTTGACCTAAAGAAAATTTGTGTACCTTCTGTGTGCCAGGAGAGGATAGAGATAATTTTACTGTTATAGAGTAATTCTGGGGAAAAATGCATCTTAGTTATCAGCTCTTATTCTAACAGTGACAAGAATGACATCTTTCAACTGATAGCTATGCATATTTTTTGCACTGTATGACCCATAGCATTTTAAATCCCATTATTTCATATGAGAATTATTTCATATGCCAAAGCAATCACCATTGTATCTCACGGCTTTGCAAACATTAGCTGATATAACTTCACAATTTTCTGTAAGGTAGATGTGTGCTTTTCAGCTCGCAGATGAAAAACTAAGGTCTCCAATTAAATATTTACACAGATTATACATGAACCAATTCCAAATTGATTAGTTAAACTGCTGCAAAGTATCAACTGAGGAATATTTTGTCTTTTTTTTTTTTTTAACTTAAATGCCTCTTTAAACCAAAATATGTGTCCATTCTGCTTTTTCTACTCATTAGACTAAATCGGCCAACTACATGTTAAAACATACGTGGTTAGATAAACCATAAGACCTGTAATAGAGATTAATGATACAGTATCACGATGTGCTTATTGAAACACCAACTTTATGGAAACTTCCACTCATGTTTTTTTTAAAAAGACTATCAAGTGAATCTTGCATGCTGTTCATAGAAATTTCTGTTAGTAAAAAAAACAATAGAAGTCAAGGCAGATCACATCCCTTACAGCACATGTGAGCTACTGAGCAAGCTGCACAAAAGGAACAAAGAGCTGAGGAGTGTAGAGTGTGTGCAATTGGTTTGGTTTGTCATCTTCAGATGAAGTCACTTTTCTGTTTAAAGGGTGACTCTTTGAGGAAAAAAAAAACAGTGCACCTGAAGCAGGAACAAGGGTTGGAGGGACCAAAATCTTTGTGCTGTTGTCCTCCCAGAAAAGGAGAAAGGTCTAGGAGAAAGAATAGGAAGAGGCATGAAAACTCAAGCTCTGAAAGGAAATGTTTGACCTAATGGTGTTTCTCTGCTTCTGTCACTGCCCAGCAGAGAGACCCAGGCAAGGTGGAGGACAGTGAGGAATGCTGATCCTGGAAGGGGCAGTACCTTGCACCTTTGAACCAATTTCTCAGCAAGTATAAACTCTCATAGTATATCTGATCCCACAGTTGCAGTGGCATGAGATTCACATGAGTGGTCAACCTTACAGTGGTAAGAAAAGTGGTAAATAGGGTCAAGCCCCATATATGTTCAAAGCGCTTTGCATACACTAACTGAATGAACAGGTTCAGTCCTGGAATTAATGTGGATGACTGTTTACACAGTTTTCCATATTTCTACAAAAAGTTTTAGAAAAGGTTGTATTAGTAACAGTTCTCTTCAAGTGTATATCCATGCTGTTTGGTAATACGTAAAGCTAAAGTTCTGTTGAAGGGAAGCTTAAGATCTTGCTCTAGGAAGACTGCTTTGAAAGTCAGTTTCTTAAACTAATTTTTCCACACATTTAAATATTTACACTGGTTGTTACATAGCTATTTAAAATGTATTATACAGAAATGCATGTGGAGGGTAGAAAACAAAACAAAACAAAACAAAACAAGTAGGGAAAGAACACAAGTGTTGATAAACATTCACATACAATGCAATAAAAACATTCACACCAAAAACCAGAAAAAAATTACAAATCGTAATCCATGTCACAGATTAAAACTATTCCATAATTTAGCTTTTTTTTTTGTGATGTTGATGCTAGTGAATCCAAAGAGTTAATAAGTGCTGAGAGACTTCCAAGACTTTTTTAATAAAACCTGTGTTGTTTTAACAAAACCCCAAATTTCTGCAGGAGAGATCCCTTTCCAGGAAAATCTTAATCTCAGACAGTAGACATAGATTAATTGTCACACATCATGATACAGTGAGAAAACAGTGTAATATTTTCAGGTTGAAAACACAAGCCTTTAACAGTTACCTGCGAAAAAGAATCACTTTCTGTTTTAGTAAAATTGAAGTTTAAGGGCAACTCTTGTGAAACCCTGAAATTTTGTCTATATGAGTTTACTCATTTGCTATTCCAAGATTACACCTGGAATGTGCACTTCCACAGCTGTGCAGAAAGATTTCTCCAAAGCTATGGAATAAAAATTCTAGAAAGGTACATTTTCCTTCTCTGTGCCTGGGCATTCTTTACAGGCTACTCAGAGAATCAATCCTATGTTCAAATTTCCCCTAAATTTGATGTTTTTCCAAGTCTTTCAATAACAAATTACTAAATAGATGTGGTGACATTAGAGAAACTCTGTGCTATGAAAATTTTGAACTGTCAGCCTGTTTTATTGTTCTTGCATTCTGGAGACAGCACACTAGATGGAATTCAGATGCCTATTTCTGTTTGTACAATGTCAATAAGAATTGCATTGCCAATAAATACAATAACAATGAGACAGTCTGCCAAAAGGACAGATAATTACTTGAAATATTTTTGTTTGCTTTCTCAAAATTCAAACTGGTTTTAATGATTAGACTCATGCACAAATTTTGCTTTGTTTTAATTAGGTAGTGTTAAAAAATTGCCCCATTTTCCTCATCTGAAAAATGGACAATAATTCATTATTTGATCTACTGCTTAAAAAGCAGCCTTGTTCATACAACCATACATTATTATAAATCTAGGAACTACTGATTTGAATATGATGTTTATTAACTAACTAGATATCATAGCAAAATAGCTAGATCCTGATAAAAAACATTCATACATCATTAGCAACATTGTACCAGTTATACAGCCTTCAAAACAGTATTACTTTTAAACGATAACTATGGCAATTACCCCAAATTCTTGCTTCTTCCCTCACAGGTACTTAAAATGTTTACCTTTACCCTCTGGACAGAACTCAAACTTGTTAAATCTTCTTAAGTTGATGCAAAGAATTCCAGAGCTCTTCCCAGGCTGTGATTGTTTTTGCTATGAAATTCTGTGGAGTAGAAGCTTACATCTGCCATGAGTCACTGGGCAGGAATGTTACTGAGAAGCTGCAGTTATCAAGACTAAATTGCAACATAAGAAGACGGTAATTCTGCTCCTAACACAACACTTCTGAAATAAAAATAATAGACCAAAAATAACAAAGGATCATCCATTCCTTTTCACTGCTCTGATCCAGGAAACTGCTGTAAACATAATGTTCATCTACACACTCCAGTGCTTTCTGGAATCAGAGCCTAAATCTCTTAGGCTTCAGGGGTATATAGACAGCATAATTGACTCAAATGATTTAGAAATAAAACATAATCACTCAGACTACAAGTTACATGTTAGAGGTAATAACATAAAAAGAAATCTGCTAAGAAAAAACAAACAAAAAAACCCAACAAAAAACACCAACCCAAAGTAACACAGTGCAGACAAAGCCAAAGGGAACAAGAAAAAAATGAAAGAATCTTGTTTGATGTAAGTCAGTATTTTTTAGCTAAGTTGGAAAGCACTCAGAAGCACATGATCTCAGTGATTTGGTTAGGCAAAGTCACTTTCTATGTAAGCTTTTTAGAGCCAGATGAACAAAAATAATGTTTTAAAATGCAATTTGTTTTTAGTGTTTGCCCTCCTTCTATGTTGGCTCTTCCCAAAAAGTTCAATAAATGAGTATGCTTAAAGGAATGCTTCTGGAAGAAATGAACTCAAGGAAATATTGAACAAAAGCAGTAAAAAGAGTTTTACATTTCACAGTATAACTATTCACACCATCAACTTCCTTTTGAAGACTAATACTTGTTGCCGACTTCCTCTGAATAATTTCTGGTGCATTATTTGGAATCTGTTTACTTGGCAGTATTTATCTTTACTAATTACATTACATCACCTAATTAACTTAATATTCTGAATTTCATATATTTAATAATTGAAATAAATTTCTCATGAGTAGTCTACATTAAGAATCATTCAAAAATTGAAAATCATTCAGCAAGCCATTTTTTCTGGCAATCTTACTATGGCTAATGACTTTTGCATCAGGGAGATACCTGTTCATAGCATGACTCTTAACCAATCATTACTCAGTGGGTAGGCTCTGAATTTAGATAGTGGAAAAAAGACATGGCATTTTAAACTCGGATTTACTAACCATTTAAATTGAGGGTTACAAAAAGATTCTCCATCACTTGAAGTCTCTAAACAAAGACTAGATGGCTAAAATGTAGGTTCAGTTAAACAAGAATTAAGCACAGCATCAAGTCAGAGATTTGTGGTATTCAAGAAGTTTGTAGGCTACTCATCATGAGAAAGATTTTGCAAGAAGAAACACACCAAACAGAAGACTCTCAAAGGGTGAAAAAACAGAAAACACAAGCATAAGCACAAAAGGAAGAGAGAAAGATCTTTCTTAGACTGTTGGATACATCAAATACTGAAAACTGGCAAATGTCATAGACCTTAATGCGGCCAGTAAAGACCTGGCTGTTCACGCAAATCTTATTCAGATTTGCTGCTCTTGGGAGAGTTTGCACAGAAGTGAAGCAAAACATGGCAAGGATGATTAATTACTCTTTTATCTGTTTTTTTACAAAAGTACTTATGAAGGATAAAATGCTGTTCTTCACTTCTACACTAAATCAAGATGTTTAGTACTTCCTATAAGCCAGGTAAAAACAGTCAGTTGTATTAAATCCATTTCATATCTTTTGTGGATGTTTAAAAGAAATAGCTATCACAAGAAATCAGTGGTCTTTGTTCCCATTATATTAGCACTTTCAGCTGAGTACCTCCACAGGTATTTCATCTGACAGGAGTTTAACAGCTTTGGGCAATCCCAGATGTGGATACAGGCTGGGTGATGAGTGGATTAAGAGCAGACCTGCAGAGGACTTGGTGGATGAAAAACTAAATATGACCTGGCAACGTGTGCCTGCAGCCCAGAAATCCAGCCGTGTCCTGCATCAAAAGAAGCATGACTAGCAGGTCGAGGGAGGTGATTCTCCCCCTCTACTCCACTCTGGAGTACTGCATCCAGCTGTGGAGTCCTCAGCACAGGAAAGACCTGGACCTGGTTGGAGGGGGTCCAGAAGAGGGCCACAAAGATGGTCAGGAGGCTGTAGCAATACCGCTATGAAGACAGACTGAGAGAGTTGGGGTTGTTCAGCCTGGAGAAGAGAAGGCTCTGAGGGGACCTTATAGCAGCCTTCCAGTACTTAAAGGGGACTTAAAAGAAAGATGGGGAGGGACTCTTGATCAGGGAGTATAGTGATATGATGAAGGATAATGGTTTTAAGCTGAAAGAGGGGAGATTTAGATTAGATACAAGGGAGAAAATTTCTATGATGAGGGTGGTGAGGCACTGGAACAGGTTGCCCAGGGAAGCTGTGGATGCCCCATCCCTGGAGGTGTTCAAGGCCAGGCTGGATGAGGCTTTGAGCAACCTGGTGTAGTGGGAGACATCCCTGCCCATGGCAGGGGGGTTGGAACTAGATGATCTTTAAGGTCCCTTCCAACCCAAACCATTCTATGATTCTATGATTCTAAAATCAGCAAACACATGATAATGCATTCATAATATCATCCTTCTATCACTCAGACTCAAAAAAAGTTGCATGCACACAAGAAGTTTCATAGTACAAGGAACCACCATTTTTTCCCTGATAAGCTGTAAGATAGCTGTTAAGCACCATTTATAAAATACAAAGCTTTACTTTTTTCTCATGTGCATGATTTTTATCCAGGAAAGTTTTAAATCACCTTCAGCTGTCACTTAGAAATATGGAAGGGTCAAAAAATGCAGAACCACAACATGGTAATCCTGTGTTTGTCAACATGTACTTTCATTCAGTCTGTTACAAACTAATTTGTTTATGGTCTTCTCTGCATTTTTTTAGTTGGTGTAATGCTAACGATAAAATAGAAAACATGTAATGGACCTCATTTTAGGATTGGCTGAAATAACATATTTGGAAAAGTGCTTGCAGCATTGTATATCCAACAAGATGATAATTAATGGTCTTTCACATAAGCTAAACCATAACAATAATAAATTGAAAATACTTTTAAATAGAATATGCTGCTTGGTTTGACAACATAGACACTAGGCTTTTTTCTGAGGAGAAAAACGAACAAACAAACAAACAAAAAGAAGCCCCAAATCCCAACCTGACTAACTCCATCGAAATTATGATGTCTGAGTAAATTAAACTTTGGGGTTTTTTTTATTTGTTATTATATTAAGTAGTAGCAATGTGTTACTTCCACAAATAACATTTTGTTGCTGAAATCAAAGATAAACCAAACTCAGCTTTATGACTAAAAACCTCTGTATGTCTATTTTTTTAAAGGTAGCCTCCTTTCCAAAAATAAATGTATATTTTTAATAGACCGACTTAAGAATCACATGGTACATTTACAAGAAAAACTGGTTAAGTAGTTATAATTGACAATGTGCCAGTTACCAGAATACTATTATATCTTCCCATTGTAACAAATAGAACTTCACACGCATGATGCTGTGGTTGTTTGCACAGCTGACTGATGTGTTAAAAGGTTTCCAATGTTCCAGGGCAGAATACTGATGAAAGAGAGTACAACTCTATCTACTTAAGTGGAGTTACTTTAGATTGCTCAACAGTTCACTTTAACTACATTTACATTAAGAGGTGGCCCACATATTCAAGAGAATAAAATTATAAAAAAAAGCTGCACTGGATTTAGTCAACAGTTCGCACTGCTGTTAAAAATTATATCCACTAAGCTTTTGAAAGTTAAATATAGTCATTAGCTGTTAAAATTTTATGTTTATTTCGAGACACATCAAAAAAGAGTATGTTGTACTTACTTCTGTATTAATAAATTCTCAAGATTCCTTCTTACTAAAGCAATTTGTCATTTCAGGATTCCTGTGGAATAATCTGTACCAGTTTAACATGAGTCCTACTTAGTCAAATGACAGCAACTCTCTTCATGGACTGTCTCATTTATCTACAATAAGCTTGCACCAAAGTAACAAAATAGCTACAAAACAAGACCAAATTAAAGTGGCATGCTCATGGCAGTACAAATCCCTGAAGTTCTTGGGATGTTGATGATGGACCTCCTTCATGCAATTCTGGTTATTCACAGTGAAGCATATGAAGAAGTCCTGGTGTACTGAATGCCACAGAAATCAACAAAAGGAAGCAGCATCATTGTTCACTACTCCAATTCTCCACTTACTAAGTACTACCTTTTTCTGAGGGTTACGGACTATTTTTGTCTCTCTCTAGGACATTGTTGCCTTCTTCCTATATTTCAGTTTTCTGCTTCTTTCATTCCACTGACATGCATAGTTCCATGAGGTAATATCCAGTGTCACTGCAGTTGTCTTCAGGCGAGCTACCTTAGTGCACATGATCCACCACAGGCTTCAGTCTTTGAAGCAGCCAGCAGCCATTAATGTTTCACTTGGCTATTCCTTTAGGGAATATTGTGCACTTGCTTAGGCATGACAGCCAACTCTCTCATACAATTTATTAATAATATTTTACTTTTTCAGTGTCAGATGAGTTAGAGTACTACAAGCCAATACCTTCCTTACGTTTGGACAAATAAGAAACTTCAGAATATTTTAAAGCTCTTGATCCTTTTAACATGCTGTTTTCAAAATGTTTGCCACAATCATCACGAAAGTGGAAGAAATAAATTATGCCAAAATTACAGAAATCCATCTATAAACTTCTGAAGATTTAATCTGCTATATAAATACATTGCCCAGAGTGACCAGGGCCTTTGACTGCAACATGAAGAATAACAGATCTCTAAAACTTGCACAATCACATGATGAATTTGAAATGTTAGGGAAGTAAATATAATTCCCTGATAAGGCCAAGAGATAAACAGAAAAGAATTTCCTACTTATTCTGAAATGACACAATAAATGCATTTTATTTTTTGGTGTATGGATATAATATGCAACAATAAAATCCATTTTTAAAATAATTCACTTCATTTTTGTATAGTATTCTAAGAAAGAG